AATATATTTACAAAGTTTATATGAATAGAAATATTTAAAATATGTATTAATATGTTTTACTTGGATGGGAACTTCATGTATTAGTGTTTACTTTTTCAGGCACTGTTGGAGAATAAAGGTTTTCCAGTTATAGTTGGAATTGGTAATACAGGCTTTATTTAACTCTCTCTCCATCTCTCATGTTTTGAGCTTTTGCTTGTCAGGGATGGCCATTGTTCTTGTTATGCTATTCAAGTCTGAAAACAGTAGAATACAGTCCTATTTTTTGTTTTAAAATTGTTATTTCTTATTGCCTGTTAGCATCCGAAATTAATTGAGCATGAGGTGTGTTCTTATGTTGTTCCTGATTGTTCTTGTAGGAGGTCCAAGTGGTTCTGGAAAAACTAGTTTGGCTCATAAAATGGCAAACATAGTTGGTTGTGAAGTTGTTTCCCTTGAAAGCTATTATAAATCTGAACAAGTAAAGGATTTCAAGTATGACGACTTCAGCTCGCTCGATCTATCTTTGCTTTCAAAAGTAAGGTTTGATGATTAGCTCATTTTGACTAGTTTGGCATTCTTCTTTGAGTTGTAACTTTGGGCCATATGGGGTGGCCAATCAGATGATTGCTATGGTTATGCTAGACAATGAAATGCAACCCCAAGAAAAAAAACAGAAAAGATGCCTCTTTCCATGTTAGTTTCTCTCATATGCCCCATTTTCGATAGGCCTTCAGGTTGTTGAAGCCTTGAAGGCCTATCGAAAATCATACTTTTCTAATTTGTTTTCCCAGTTGCCAACAACTGTGCCAATTCGTTGGCTTGCTATTGTGAAATATCATTTGACCTTTGCTGAATCACATCTTAACTGACAAAATATGATTGCAATAATTAAGATACAATTCCATTGATTTAGTGGCTGCCTTTGTTGTTGTAGTACTTAACGTTATTACATTACCATGTGCAGAACATTGATGACATAAGGAATGGTCAAAGGACAAAAGTACCCATATTTGATTTGGAAACTGGTGTTCAGAGTGGCTTCAAGGAACTTGAAGTTTCTGAAGACTGTGGAGTGGTCAGTTATCAGACAGATCTACTAGTGCTTTCACAATTTGGCTTGCTCCTTTTGGAATAATATTCTATTTTTCCCTGCTTTTGACAAAACAATTCGATTAGTTTATGCTTTAATTTTTTTTTATTTTTTATATACAAGCAGATTATTTTTGAAGGAGTTTATGCTTTGCATCCAGATATCCGAAAATCACTTGACTTGTGGATTGCTGTTGTAAGTATAACCCCTGTTGCACCTTTAAAGCTTTAATATCCATGAATCTGTGTTTCTAAGTCAGTTTCAGGTGTTTCTGAGAAAGACTGGCCAGGAAGTGTTCATTCTTGTTTTTTGGCTGTCAGGTTGGAGGTGTTCATTCACATCTCATTTCTAGAGTTCAAAGGGACAAAAGTAGAGTGGGGTGTTTTATGTCCCAGAATGAGATCATGATGACAGTGTTTCCAATGTTCCAGCAGTTCATTGAACCTCATCTTGTTCATGCACACGTTAGTGGACTTTAACCTTCTTAAGTTCAATTGGATTTTGGAACCAATCTATGGCACTTCCATTATGAAACTTATTGTTTCTTTTGTTACAATGGAGGGAATCGAACCCTTGATCTAGACTAATCCATTATGAAACTTATTTTACTGCTGAAATTTGGTTGCAACTTTCAAGGGCTATTTTTGGTGCTTCAATTTCTTCTTATCTCAATACAGCTCAAAATTCGAAATGACTTTGATCCCGTGCTTTCCCCCGAGAGTTCATTGTTTGTATTGAAGAGTAACAAGCAAGTAAGGGTATCATCTTGCCTGTGTCTTGAACTCATAAAATATGATTTTCACCTTACATACTTACACTATTTCCATTTGGTCATAGGTGGCTTATCAAGATATTTTGAAAATACTGGATCCTGCAAAGTTCTGCAGCTCTGTCCAGAATTTCATTGATATATACCTGAAGCTTCCTGGACTTCCTACTAATGGGCAGTTAACAGAGGGTGACTGCATTCGGGTCAGAATATGTGAGGGCAGATTCGCGTTGCTGATACGGGAGGTTTGTAATGTGACCTGGTTATAAGTTGCTTTTTATTATTAATAAATACAGTGCTCGTTCTCTCTAACCACAGTGTACATTCCATTCTTTGTTTCTGTTTCCTGAATTTGTTTGCTTAGCCTATAAGAGAAGGAAACTTCATCATCCAACCTAAAGTGGATTTTGATATTAGCATTAGTACAGTTGCTGGGCTTCTTAACCTTGGGTAAGCAACATATTTGAATTATAAAATTCATGGGTGGACACATTTTCTTCATGTTGGATGATGAATTATGTTGTATTGTTGTTGTTGTTATTATTATTAGAATTGTTTTTATCATTACTTTCTTATCTTTTGTTTATGTCAGGTATCAAGCTGTAGCTTATATTGAAGCATCTGCTTTCATCTATCAAGATGGAAAGGTCAGATCAAATTCTATGAGATTTATTTCTTTCTTGAACATGCATTCTATTTGGAAAGTACTTCAATTGTGGTAGCAATATTAGCTTAAGTTTTCATGCCTCTTTAGATTTTGATTGAGGTTGATCATCTACAAGATGCCCCGAACCCTTACCTGCAAATCAAGGGGGTTGATAAAGAAGCTGTAGCAGCTGCAGGATCAATGCTTAAATTGGATGGTTCATATACTACAAAGGTTTTTCCTTTAATTATTCTATGCTGTTTCCCATTCTTAATCCCAACCCAAAATCACTTTCTTCTTTCTGGTTTGTTTGTTTGTTTGTTTTGATTCAATTTCATCTGAGTTGGTAGTTGATTTGTTTGTTTGTTGTAGAGCTATCTTCAAATAGTGCTGGAAAGATTGCCAGCATCAGGAAGAGGCTCAGGTGGAATTCACACTCAGCAAGCTGCAAGGTTGCAGGAACTTGTGGAATTTATTCAATCTCAGGTATTTTTCTATCAAGTTAATGGATATGACATATCACATGTTTGCAGGTCTCGAAGTCTTGCAATTTTTGCATCTAAAACTAAAGAATTTTTTCAGTGCATGCTGCATTTCTAACATTGATTGAAAATGTAATGGTGTCATAAACAGGGCAGCAGTTCAGCTTCTGAATCTTCACCAATTAGAGAAGTTTCTCCGGTTGAAGGGGTTATCGAAGACATGCAGTCAAGGATTAGAAGACTTGAGCGGTGGCATACAATCAACACGGTGCTTACGATACCTTTTCCCCCAAAGAGTTGTACTGGACTGGAGCTGTATAGAATAGTTGTGCTCATCCATTGGTGTTTGTGTGGGCAGGTACTATGGACATTTTTGATGTCTGCGCTTGTTGGTTATTCACTCTACCAAAGGAAGCGTCAGTGATGCCGTCCCGGTTGTTTTCTGTTTACCATTGCAAGAAAGAGACTTTATTGTTGCATTGATCATATCATCATTTTTACTGCGGCTGTCTCATCTCCTTCCGCAGGTTCAAGTCAATTGCTGATTATACAGAGTCAAAACAGTAACTTCCTAACTACAGTCCACAGTTGCGTTTTATGTGACTCATAACAGTGATACGCACAACTTGAGAGCCATTTATTGTATCAAAGTGATCATTCTCTTACACTATGGTGAAAAGAAAGAAAATGAAAAGTACATACAGGCTGAGACTCAGAGAAGAATACACTCACTCCTCCTCCGTTTATTTTTTCTCTTTTTGTTAGAAGTTATAATTTACTCAATGAAAGATTATTGATGAGTTGTTTGCTGCTCTTGCTCTGCCCCCCATTCCATTAAAATATCAGAATATACGTTTTGCTTTGAACCCCCACAGCCTCAGCTGATGTGACTCGTTCTCTGTAGCCCCAGTTAAAATTAGAGTAATCGACAAATTATGGTTAATTTCCCCGTTAAAAAAAGAAGCTTAGGCTTAGGTAAACCATTTAAAAGATTCATAAATTACAATATTTGCGTTGGTTTTAAAATAAGAATGAAAAAAAGGAAACAATATTTGCTTTGGGGTTGTATTCAATTTAGATTTTAAATGATTTTAAAAGAGTTATAAAGTTGAATTGAATTTAATTGAGTTTGACTGAATTCTACAAACTCCAAATAGATTTTGACTAAATTCATGTATAGATTTTAACTGAGTTTGTTAGAGTTTTATTATTGACTTTAATGGAGTTTATAACACTCAAAAAACAAAGAATTTAAGGGTGATGACGGTGGTGGTGATGGTGGGGGAGGTAGTGGTGGCGGAGGTGCTGGCGGCGTGGTGGTGATGATGCTGGTGGTGGTTGTAGTGATGGTGATGATGATGGTGGTGGTTGTAGTGATGGTGATGATGGTGGGGCTGATAGTGGGGTTGTAGTGGTGGTGGTGGTGGCTGTGGTGGCGGCGGTGGCAGTGATGGTGCTGACAGTGGTAGTGGTGATTGTGGAGGTTGTGGTGGGGTTGCTAGTGAGGGTGGCGACGATGATGACTGTTGTGGTGCTGGTGGTGGCGACATTGTTGATAGCCATGATAAGATGGTGGTAGTAGAAGTTGCTAAATCATATCTTGAGAAAAGAAATACTATCTATCAAAATCTATGGGGGTAGCAAAGATTTTTCATGGTCTAATTAGTGTATATTAAAATGAAATCCACACTTTTTGCATTTCCTTTTAAAATCAATGATTTTTTTAATAAATTTTTATGAAGTCTTTTAAAGTTGTGATTGAATATACCTTTTTGGTTATAGACAAATTCCTGGACGAGGTTAATAAAGATTATTCACTTTCTATTTTCTGGTTAACTTAAACAACGAAAAAGTGACTGCTTCTTGTTGTAAATTGTAATAAGCTAGGATCGATCTATTTTGACTGCCTCTACACCCGCCATCACTCGACGCTCACACAGACAGAAGAGAGATCTGAAATCCCGAATGGCAATGGAGCCTCCCAGCAACTACCAGAAGTACGGCGTCCCTTTCTACGTCGCCGCTTGGGCTCCCGACGTCCGCAAATCCCAACCACGCGACCAAGACGATGACGACGACGATCAAAGCAAATCTCAGACTGAGACTGAATCAGCCCAATCACATCCCAACCAAAACCACGTCGTTTTGGCCGGCGGTGGTGGCGAGGGTCGCAGCGGCGTCCCAAACGCCATCCTTGTCGCCCAATTCGATCCCGCCTCCGTTTCTCTCTCTCATCAGCCCGTAATACTCCAACCCCAATCCCATCCTTCTTAATTTTTACAGATTATTACCTAATTTGCCTGCCTTGTAATTGTAATTGGTGTCATGTTTGGAATTTGTTGTTTGATTATCAGGTGGCTAAGCTGGACACTGGCTCGGATTTGCCTTATAGAATGGCGGTTCACCCCGGTGGTGACGGTCTCATTTGCTCTTTTCCTAATAGTTGCAGGTCTTTTTCATTCAAAATTTTCCATTTCTTTATCTTAGACAATACCTTTATCTATCAATTCCCTTGACTCTGAGAAAACTGAAACCCAACCAGATTTACATGAAAAAATGAAAGGCTGCACATTTTGATTTTACGTTTATGAGCAGTGGGATGCTCTTATATTATATTCACGTACATATGCATATATTAATTGTAGATTTCCATTTTCTTCTGCAGATGGTTTGAATGGGACGAAGAAAGCAGTGAAGATCCTAAACTGGGTTTGAAGCAGTCGGACAGAGTGCTCGACCAGTTGGTAGATGTTGGACAACAGTTGGCCTTGGCATTTAACAAAGAAGGTTCCGTGCTTGCTGCTGGAGGCGAGGTACAGCCCGTCCCTTCACTTTTTCTTTTTGGATTCAAATACATTTGTTATACATTATGTATCACTATATGTTACAGTTTTATATTATAGATTGTTTTTAGACATGACATCAATGTCGGATGCAAAATTTTCTTTTCTCCAGAAGTAGTAGCACACCGTATAATAATGCTCTCATTTGGTTCAGTACAGGATGGCAAATTAAGGGTTTTCAAGTGGCCTAGCATGGAAATTATTCTCAATGAAGCTCAAGCTCATACTACAGTGAAGCAATTAGATTTCAGGTTTGCAAGAGTCGTGGCATTTAAAAAAAAAAAATCTATCAACCTCTTTTATTTGTAATGTTGTTGCTGATGGTCTGGGCCGGTTGTCTTGCAGTCCTGATGGGAAATTTCTTGTCTCGTTGGGAAGTAGTGGCCCTGGTAGGGTGTGGGACATAACTTCGTCTACTGTTGCAGCTTCTCTACCACCAGAAAAGGTGAGTAACTGCTGAAAATTCTTCTATAAATAAAATTATTATGAGTTTCAAATTTATGCGGATTCAAATGATCCTTGACTTTGTAGATTGACATACCCCTTTCAAGGAGATTTTGTTGATTTTTACTGGTACATACATACAATGGTTTGTGTACTTAATTGTATGCTTATTGAACACGTTAACAAAAAAAAAGTAGATCAAACTATTGACACCGATATCCCTATACTGTTGTGAATCATTTAACCTACTTTTCTGATTTTACCTCCTGGTCATACTATATGAATTAGAGGATCCTCATGCTTTTGTACTATTATAAGTCACTACACTTCTACAAGTGGGTTTCTAACTAATGAGAATAATTATAAATTATAATACATGCAGGACGAGGTTTTTTGTGCATGCAGATTTTCTTTGATTAGTGATGGGAATTACATTCTATATATTGCAGGTAAATATTCCGTGTGGAAAAAGCAATTCATCTGTTTCTTAGAGAACTGCTCTCTTTCTACTTACTTTTCCATGAGTTAACCGTTTCAACCTCTGTATTATATAATACAGATAAATCTGGAAGCATTGTGACATGGAACACAACCACTTGGAAGAGGATTGGATCAAAGACTATTGCACGTGACATTATTTGTGCCTTTGATGTTTCAGCTGATGGAAAGCTCCTTGCTTGGTAATATTATCTTGGATCCGTACTATTAACAGTTTTTTAGATGCTTTTCGCACTACACAATGTGTCAAATGACTGCATATGGTGTTGTATTTTTTTGGGTAACAACATATGGCGTCATTTGAAATCACCATTTTTAACACTATTTACATCCAATTGCAATCTAGCATGAAGCAATTGCTTTCACTGCTTTCCATCCTTTGGTAAAAATATCTCCTGTGTGTCTTGAAAAGGAGAAAACTAAACTAACACATCTTATCATGAAAACACAGTGGGACTACTCAAGGAGATCTTGTGATAGTAAATTCAACCAGAATGCGGATTCAAAAAGTGGTTAAGAAAGCACACCTTGGCTTTGTAACTGCATTGAGTTTCTCTCGTGATTCAAGGTAAACCAACATATCAACATTATGTTTCTTCTATGGTTATGATTATGCAGCAATCCATTTTCGCCTTCTATGAACTGTTTGTGAAGCATGTGATTCTAAAATGCAGAGCTTTGGCTTCCGCATCCCTGGACTCAAGTGCAAGGGTGTCCACACTTGAGGATGAGAAGAAAACTGGTAAGTTCTTGCCATAATTTTTGGTTGGATAATTCAGTTGTATCCCTCCGAACTTTTCATGGTAATTGTTGGACTTCCCTTGACAGCCTAGTTAAACCATCATGCTAGAAAACCTTGCCTATGATTGGAGGCCTTTTCGATTGTCAAGGTCTCAAGTAATATAAGCAGCCAAATTGCAATTCAGTTTTTACTATCACTGAACATAGCAAGTAGAACACCATCACTGTTTGGGGGACCTTCTTGAGCTCTATTTAATTGTTTCCTCTAGTGTTTTGTTGGCATTTTTAATGATTGGGTTTTACTGTTGGAGCGTCACAGGCTTTCCTGAGAAAAAGTTAAGTTCAAACAACAATCAATTCGGATTTCAACCATATGACATTAGGATGATTAGGATGAATGTCGAACTTTCTATGAATCTATTTTGTCTACTAGAAAACACCTAATTGCTCTAATTGGTACCTCACTCTGTTGCAACTATAGTTCATTTAGAAATGAGACATGCTATCGGTTTGGTTGCAGGAGGATTGAACATATGGATCGTTTTATTCATCATTCTAGTCGCCATTGCTGCATATTTCTTGAACAATCCTGAGAAGTTGCCGTCGTTTAATTCTTAAATGTAAAAATTTGACCGCTCCTGGCGTTGAAAGGATTTTAAATTCGAAGAGATCAGCTTGGTGCTTGTGATAGTAATATGATAGGATCGTGGCTTTGACAGCCTGTTATACGATAATAGGACACTGACTAGTTGGGCTTGAAAGCCAACTCATCTATAAGCCTATTAGCGTGAGATTGCCTTTTTCGGCGTTGTCTTTATAATATATAGTTTACTTTTGGATGTGTAAATCAATTTTCTGATTCTCTTTGTGAAAATAATTGTTCTATCCATAAATTTTCATTTTTTTATTCAACCGTTTTCATATATATTTTTTTTGTATTTCTAGTTCCTTTATAACTTACTTTTCTTTTCTAAAATGTTCAATACATTAAATCTTTATTTTAGACCTAGTTTCTTCGTTTGGTCGAGCTAGTTTCTTGTTGGTTTCCTAAGATGCGTACTGGTTTATTTGAGCTTCCATACTACATTCTCCAAACAAAATTTGTTAATTACAGAAAGGGAATGAATGACCTACCAACTAGTACTAGATGCGAGTAAAATTACAAGGCAACTTCAAATATTATATCCGTTAGGATTTTAGGAACATGTTAACCAAAGACACAGAAGAAAAGCATGTGACAATCAGTAGGACCCTGAATTACCATAATTGTATATCTGCAACTTTTTGATTATTTTGGGTTGCTGTCCTGGCGTGTCCTGTCTTTTTAAGTTGTGGTTAGCTTTG